AGCTTAATTGCACCTGAAGGCCAGATGAGAAACAATGGATGGCAACTTATCAAGGAGAAATTCAAATGAGAAATAAGGAGTCGTTTTCTGAGTGAGAACCAACCAACCAGGGGAATGGCCTGACTTCAGAAGTTCTGGGTGATGTGATTTTTAAGACGATTCTAGGCAGCCATTTTATCCAGAGTGGCCTAGGGCAGTGGTCTCCAACCTTGGCAACTTTAAGACCTGTGGACTTCAACTCCCAGAGTTCCTCAGCTGAGGAACTCTGGGAGTTGAAGTCCACAGGTCTTAAAGTTGCCAAGGTTGGAGACCACTGGCCTAGGGCAATGAGGGTGAACCTTTTAGAGACCAAATGCCCAAAATGCAGCCCAAAACCCACTTATTTATTGCAAAAAGGCCAACATAGCAATTTAACCTGAATAATGAGGTTTTAGTTTAGGAAAAAGGAAAAAAAAACAACTCGTACATCAACATCTTCTGTCTTAAAAGAAAAACACAATAACAGAGCTTCCAATGATACAAACAACTTTTTATTGAAAGGTAGAAGTTTGCATTGGGCATGCTTTTGAATAATTAGCAATAACAATAGCACTTAAGACTTATATACACCTTCGTAGTGCTTTCCAGCCCTCTCTTAAGAGGTTTACAGAATCGGCATCTTGCCCCCAACAATCTGGGTCCTCATTTTACCCACCTCGGAAGGATGGAAGGCTGAGCCAACCTGGAGCCTGGTGAGATTCGATGTGCCAAACAGCAGCCAGCGGATCAGCAGATGTAGCTTGCAGGACTGGACTCTTAACCACTGCGCCACGGCAGCTCTAATTAAGGTGACTTTTGCTGTTGTATGCATGCTGATAATCTGTCCAACTTTGGCTCATACTTTGTAAGTTTGAGAGCGACACATGCAGCATTCGGGTCATCTGTTTGTCCATTTCTGGTGTCAAACAGCTGCTCACAAGCTTTAAGATGATCCAAACAAAGTAAGGAAAGCAATCCCAATTGCTTTCATTGGCTTAAAATTATTTGGCCGAGAATTCCACACTTTAAGGATTTCATTTTGCTGTCAAACAGCTGCTCACAAGCGTAAGATGATCCAAATAAAGTAAGAAGCGCAATCCCAAGTGCTTTCATTGACTTAAAACTACTTGGCAGAAAATTCCAAACTTTAAGGATCTCATTTTCAGAGCTAACTGTGCTGTCCTTTGCCATCCCTTCTATCTTCTCAAGTGTTTCACGCAAGTCATAGAATTTATTTTTCCAGATGGAGCTTTCTTGAAATTCCAATAGCTCCATTTCCAGGTTTCCTAAATCTAACCAGTGTAAGCAGGAAAGATCAAGTTCTTCAAATTTGGCTTTATCTGGGGAAGTAAGAAAACACAGGGTTGTCTCCATCTTACGGAACTGTAAAAAACGGTTACTAAAATTCATCATTGCAGCTGCTACAATGCTAGAAAATTCCTTGTAGATTTCCTGGCGGCTTGTAGGATTGCCTGCAAATGTTGCAGAATTTTCGAAATGCCTTTTTAGATTTGGAAAATATTTCAGCTGCCCACTTTCAAGGTCTCTCTCAAAAACCTGCAGTTTTCTCTCAAATGTTTTGATATCACAAAACATCCTTTCTGCTGTTTTCCCGACCCCTTGCAGTTGTTGGTTCAGTACATGGAAGTGTCGTGTAAAATCTGTAAAAAACATGAGGTTGGCAAGCCAGGCCGTATCAGTGAGCTGTGGATATTCCTGCCCTTTTTCATTTGTAAACAGCCTGATTTCATCCAAGCAGGCTACAAATCTCTCCAGGACTTGCCCTCTGCTCAGCCACCGGACATTATCGTACATAAGTAAACAATTATACTGTGCCTGAACTTCCTCAAGAAGTGCTTGAAACTGTGGAAAATTCAGTGCATGAGACATGATGTAATTCACCATTTTTGTGACATCTTTGAGGACATCGTCAAATTTTTTGCTGGCACAAAGAGCGTCTTGATGTATAATGCAGTGGAACTGAATGATTTGATGCTTCGCTTCTTTAACAAAGAACTGTATGAAACCAGATGTTTCCCCCACCATAGAAGGTGCCCCATCACTAGTAATTGAAACCACTTTTTCTGGCCTTATGTCATGTGACAAAAAAGCCTCCATCACAGCATCATAGATTTCTATTCCTTGGGTCCTTTCAGGAAAAGACACCAGTTTCACCAGCTCTTCTCTCATGATGTCACCAACAGCATAACGCAAAATTATTGCTAGCCTGGTGTGATTATTTATATCTGTGCTTTCATCCAAGCACATGGAGTAGCAGGCTGCCTTTTGTAAGTCAGTGGTGAGCTGCTGGCTAACGTCACTTGCCATGCACTGGCCTCGATCTTTAACAGTATTTCTTCTAAGTGGCATCTCAGAGAGGCGTCGAATAATTTTATCCTTGTTTGGGAAATCATGGAAAAGGGAATCACTTCCAGACAACATGGCCATTTTGATAATATCCCCATCAGAGAGGGGCTTCCCATGTTTTGCTGCGCACACTGAAATTTGAAAACTGTCAGCTGCCAGATGAGGTGCTGTAGAAAGATCGTTGCAAAAACTAAGAGACTGGGAACGATGTTTCCTCAATTTCTCTTCAAGAAACTCTTTTCTTTCCATTTCACCAAGTTGGGCAATACTTTTGTGGTTGGTGTCAAAGTGCCGCCTGACACTTGACGTGCGACACACAACGCTTTCATTACACAAAGTACATAACGCTTTCCCATTGTGTTCAACCATTCCAAATGACTCTGTCCAAGCCTCTCGAAATGATCTCCCACTATCTGTTCTGGTTTTTTTTGCTGTGCTCATTTTTGCGTGTTGAAGACTTGCAATCTACAAAAACACAAAATTTAAAAAAAAATGAAGCATCCAACACAAATCTATCCCTATAACCAAAAATAGCTAACACTATTCGTTAACACTAAAGAAATGTCTATTCCTGAATCAACAATTGTTCCTTTTTAATTTGCTAACCATCAGCTCAAGGGGACAATATTCCACTGACCACCAGCCTTTCGCCTGCTCTGAAAAAGGGCATCTGAGTGCATTTCCTACCTTTGTTTCACCTGTGCTGTACATGTGTTGGACCTACTTCTTGGGGAATTTGCATAAATAAGATGAAGTGGAGGTAAAGAAAATAACATGTAGGTATATTTTCAAAAGAAAGGTACAAAGGGGGAAAAACATAATCAGGACAGGTTTGAGAGGGAAAAGGAACAAGAAATTACAGCTAACTATTTTTCGGTCTGTGGAAATACCACCCCCAAAAAATAAAAATTAAGAGCTGGAAGAGACGCCTACAACAAAAAGAAAGAAAAGGAAGAGAGAAGAGGAGATGAGAGGAAGAGGAGGGAAGGAAGATAGAAGTGAGGAGAGGAAGATGGAAGGGAGAAGGAGGAGAGAGGGTAGGAAGGGGAAGTGAAAGAGGAGTAGGGGAGAGGTAAGGGAGGAAGGGAAAGGAGAAAGGAAGGAAGAAAGTAGAAGGGAGGGAGGGAGAAAATGGGAAATAAGGGGGTGTCAAAACAGGTGAGGGATGGTAAACAAAGCAACCCAAATGGTATATTATAACCCTGTAAATGGAATGACAAATGTATAAGTGACGAATGTAAAAAATAATAACTGTGAATGTATACCTATAATTGTATATAAAGAACAAAAAATAAAACTTTTTTTTTAAAAAAAAGATGAAGTGGAGGTGTAAGCAACAAGGCAGCAAGCACATGCACGCGCTGTGGCCAAGAGGACTCTGCTCCCCTCCAGCCTAGCTCTTCTCTAACCCCACCACGGGAATCTGCTTTGCCACAGATTCAACAGGCTGCCATCCACACCACACCCTCATGGCTCATCTTACTCCAGAGAGAGGAGGAAGCACTCCCATTGGACTGCTGGGCAGGTGATGAGAAATGCCCTCAGGTGTGCATGGAGAGGGGGAAGGGAGCAGACCAGCCCCACATCCCTCTGGCTTTCTATAACCAACTGTTTTTTTCCCTAATGTTTAATTGATTTTATATATATTTAATCTATAGTAAGAGTTGCGAACTCTGTGCTGGGGTGACAGCCCACATGTCCATAGAGACGGCTCTGAGTGCCCCCTCTGGCAGGCGTGCCATAGGTCCACCCCCCATTGGTATACAGGGTCTCCTGCTTGAGGAGGGGGTTGGGCTAGACCTCCAAGGTCCCTTTCCAACTCTGCTCTTCTAAAGATCTCACCACCAATTCCAACAGAAGTAAAGCAGAAACAGGATGGGAATGAGACGAGCAGGAAGCAAAGGTTTTCTGAGCTAAACTATGGGAGGAGAAAAGTGCATCTGGAATGCTGCATCCAATTTTGGTCACATTAAAAAAAAGATGTTGAGACTTGGGGGGGGGAGTGCAGAGAAGAGCAACTAAGGTGATCAAAGGCCTGGAGACTAAAACATAGAAAGAACGGCTGCCAGGTTTGGGTTTCTTTTCTAGAGAAAAGAAGAATTAGGGACACGATGGCGGTATTGCAGCATTTGAGGGGCTGCCACAAACAAGAGGGAGTCAAGCTATTCTCCAAAGCATTAGAGGGCAAGACAAGAAACAATGGATGGAAACTAATCAAGGAGAAAAGCAACCTGGAATTAAGGAGAAACTTCCTAACAGTGAGGACAATAAACCAGTGAAACAGCTTGCCACCAGATGCTGTGGGCGCTCCATCACTGGAGACTTTTAAGGAGATTGGGCACCACTTGTCTCAAAGGGCATAAGGGAAGTGAGGGTCAACCTTTTTGGCACGGAGTGCTCAAACCTGG